CTACTGCTGCTGATACATGAGCACGAAGATTGATTGTCTACTTCTTGTTTATAAAAGGGTTTTCTACTTTTAGGGTATTGTTGCATTTACATTTGATGACCATGCTGTTGCAAGAATGGAAAAGCAAAAGAAGGTTGCTGGTTTGCACAGCAAAGGTGTGATAAATGAAGTCTTTGAGGTATGTCATCTGTGTGTGGTAGCTCTTTGTGCTTCTTACAAACTCAATACTAGATATATTACATGTAGAGGCTGAACAATAAGAATGAAAAATTGTCATCTAAAGAGGTGGGAATGGCCTTCTCTGCCAGCAGAATGAGATGCTGGTTGGTATGTGGTAGCCTTGTCTATTCAAGCTTATATGGAACTCCAATGGGATTCAATTCATTTTGGACATTGTTCATGGCGCAAATGTACTTGAGCTATTTGGGTGTTCTTAATATAAATTTGTAATATGACTGTTATTACTTTAATTGGTGGCAAGCCCTAATGCCTCTCTTTGTCTACCTTGTTTTGTTGATTCCAGGGACTCACTGGTCTACTTCAGTCACCAATCAAAGAAGCTGAGAAGCATGGTCTTCCTGGCATCCTCTCAGGTAATGCACTATCAGACCCTCATACGTGCAAGTATCTTGTGAAATTCAATGGGACAGACGTTGTGCTAGTTGTACATGTTGGTCATAATGCATGGCTCACTGCCTTTTCAACTGTGCACAGGAATAGCTTTTGGAATTACAGGATTGGTGGCAAGACCAGCAGCTAGTATTCTTGAGGTTACAGGAAAAACTGCTCAGAGTATCAGAAACAGAAGTAAGCTGCAGCATACAGGATCACAACGATATCGACTTCGTCTTCCAAGGCCTCTAAAGCGAGAACTTCCTCTGAAGCCTTATTCTTGGGAAGAAGCGGTTGGGACGTCAGTGCTTATGGAAGCTGATGATGGTTTGAAGCTTAAGGATGAAGTGTTAGTCAAATGCAAAGCTCTTAAACAGGCTGGTAAATTTGCTGTAATCACAAAAAAGCTTCTATTAGTTGTTAGCTGCTCCAGTTTGATGGAATTTGGAAGCCTTGAATTTCGAGGTGTTGCTGTCGATCATGAATGGGTTATTGAATCAGAAATTGGTCTGGACAGCATAATCCATGCTGATACAGATGATGGGGTGGTGCACATTGTTGGCAGCAGTTCAGATGCCATAACAAGGCAGAACCAACACCAGTCTAAGAAAGGCAGTGGAGCAAGGACAAGAAGATGGAACAATCCTTGGACTCCTCTGCCGCTCTTCCAGACCAACTTGGATTTGGATTCTAAGGAAGAAGCAGAGGAATTTTTACATGTCTTGTTATCAATGATAGAGCTAGAGAAAGGACAGGGCTGGGGTATGGGGTATCTTCTACATCGAACTAGCATTAAGTAGCATTCAGCAAAACATACGTTGCAGGAAAATAGATTTACTTTTGCATACAAGGTGACAAGGTTTTTATCCACAGCGTCTATCCCTTTAAGAAATAGTTTGAATCCGCAGCCTTTGCCAAGGAAAAAGAACATAGGGTGCCCCAAGCAGACTGGTGGGCAAGAAACTAAGGGAAAAAGAGCAGATAAAAAAGCTAGTAAAAAGGACAGATCGTTAGTCCTTTGGAACTCATAAAACTTTTACATGCATCCTTCAGTGTCATTCATTTTGTAAATACATAATGTAAATTTTGGCCTGCTTAATCTTTTATTTCATTATTTATAGAGTTTTAAAAGAAATAAGAGGTAAATCACATCTTTGTTTGAGTTTACTGCCACAATAATGAAAGTTGTGATTGTGTATCACCCACGTAACTGGAGAATTCTGAGGTATTTTGGGAAGAAGGGGTTCAGAAAGCTGCGTGTGGCCACTAAGATCTTGCTTCTTCTGTCGCTGACAGTAGGGAATAAAGAAATTGGCTCTAACAATTGAGTTATAAATGGATTAATGTGGAAGTAATATTTGAGTTTTTTTGTTCAATTGTGTTATGAGTGCGTTCTTTCAGTTATATTTTCTAGAGTTTCTGTTTCAAGTTTATTCTAGTTCTGAGTGCCAAAAACAAAACACTTAGATTTGGTTGGATTTGCTTCTAGTTAGTTGCGTAGGGTTTAACTAGATTTGGTTTCATGTTGCTCTACAATTCACTGGTATATTTTCGTGTTAAATCTCCAAAAGAACCATCTGAAATAATAATCTTGACCTTTGCCTTCTGTCACATTTTGTATATGGCATCGTTTGTGAATTCTTATTTTAATGGACGTACTTTCTTTGCATGCATTGTTTATATGTTTAGTAATTGTTTCATTCAGTGGTCTATTAGGTCTGTCAATATTTGTTGGTAGTTCTATATATATGAATATTACTTATTATGTCCAGTTCTATGCGTTACTAATGTGTAGACTCCATATATTAATGTGTGTATATACATGTATACGCACAATGTTAAATGATTACTACATAAGTTTGAAAATGTGTTCAAAATTACAAATTAAGAGAGTATTAAAAATAATTTGTAATTTGAAAAGTCAAAATAGGGAGTATGAAGATTCGGAGAGCGACATTGAACATTATAGAAGGGCATAAAAATCCAGTTCTGTAATGAAAACTTTAGAACGACGGTGAACACCAACTACGAGGAAGAAGAGAAGAATCGAGGATGACAGTTAAAAAAGAAGAGGGAAAGTGGCAGTGATGAGAAATAGAAAGTAAAAAAGAATTTGGAAAAGCTTTGGCAGTCTTGAAGAAGAAGATGAAGCCGGTTATGCAGTCTACATATGTGTACAGGTATACGTATATGTGTACCAATCTCCATTCTAAAATTAAAAGCCCCATCGGTACTGGTCCATCACTTTAAACTTTTCTTATTTGTATTGTGAACCTCTAATATATAATTTGATCCCATTCAAACATTCTCGATTTGATTGAAATAAGTTTGTCTAAGACAAATTTGATTGTAAAGGAGAAATTTTTTCTCAATTATATATATATTCTTTTAATAAAATTGTATAGTAATATCTCCTAATTGACCTTTATATTCATAAGATAGACTGTTTCGACTATTGAGATTTTAAAAGTGATTATCTTTTGCTTTAATTTCTTCTCTATTTTGGTTTTATTTCTTGTAAACTTGAAGTTTATTCTCGACCAATATGATCCTCCAAGTAAAAAATTATAATAAAAAAAAAAAATCAAGTTGCTAGTGGAACCAACCAAAATGTATGTCGTCCAAACAATCTCACACTCTTTCTTCTCAAGATTGAAGAGCTTAAAAAACACATGAAACAAAGATATGAACTAGGTAAATCAAAATGGAAAAAGAAATGTTTCTAATTCATCAAAATTAAAAGCTTTTTCTACATTCATATGATCTGCTAAAGTAGATTGGTATTGCCTATATAATGAAAGCAGATCTTGGTCTATGAAGTCCGGAAAAGGCAAGAACTCCAACCTATCTTATGCTTCTTTGACCAAATAAGATATACTAGTGGAACTTGCGCTATGAGCAATTTGTGCAAAAAATTGTTTCTTCTTTTCGGTTCTAAAATACAATTTGGGTGAAATGGGGTTTTAAGGAGAAATTATAAATTTTTATGTTTTTACTATTGATCACTGGTCGAATCACTGGAATAAAATAATATAAGAATCTTTAAAAATCTTAATGGTATAGTTATACAATTTTACTCTAACTTTCCCACTTCAGTCGTTGTTTTTCTTTTTATTACTTCGAAAGTAGTTGTTTTAGTTTTATCCATTCCAATTTTTAATATTTGTTTTTATCTTTTATCAAACGAATGACATCTTTTTCTAAAACTTCTTTCTATTCTTAACATGATATTGAGAAATTTCAATACTATTACTCAAACAAGCATGAAATGTATACTTTCACATTCGTCTATATGTCAAATTGAATATATAATTGTTGGAATAATTATTGGAGACTCAAATGGTGGATATTGATTTAATTTGTGAACATATATACACATATATCCCCGACTTCAAATATTTGGAATCTCTAAAATTTCAAGAAAATTAAACATTAAGAAACTTAGTTCCACATCAAACAAGCAACAAAAAGCTTAAAGAAGAAAATAACATCCAAGCAGCCTTTTCCACTAACTATATGGCATGAATAAGAAGCCTTTAAATCGATGACAACTCCTGCTATCATGATTAATATATAATTTTGTGGAACTAAATGGAAATAAACAATTATAAATTATATGTACAAATTAATATATATTGTTAGTATATCCAAAATAATCTAATTTACTTTAGAAACTATGTGACATATTATATGCAATATTATATTTGAAAAAATTATGTTAATTGTTCCTAGAGCGATCAGAGCAAAACAAATTGGTCTATTTAATTTTAAAGAATTAAATCTAAATCAACCTCCACATATGATGTTATTATAAATCTTCTAATCATCCCTAATTACACATGATGTTTTTAAAAATAATTGGTGATACATTGTAATACATTTAAGGTATACTAGGACAAGCAAGGGAATACCTTAAGTTATTCAATCATTTTTTATAATGATACAAGTATATTTGCACTAAGTATAAGATATTATATTCTATCGTACACAAATTATTGTCCTGTATATGTAATAAAAACGTAATTCTTAGATAATATAAACATATAAATGACATCAGGGAGGGCATGTGATTCAATTGTCTCAAGTTTTTGCTAAAATTTGCGAAATAAAAATTTAAATCAAACTAACCACAACTATGAAATCTTTCAAATTACTTTTATGTGTGGAACACCTCAAACACAAAGTAAGTTATAATTTAAACAAAGATATAATGTAATGTAAAAAAATGAAGAGACAAGAATTGAGTATCAATGAAGTAGATTTAGAGCTTTTATTGCAGAGAGGGAAAGGGTTTATACATATTGATGGTTAGGAAGAGGCGCACACACTTACAAATCAGAGCATGATCACCACAAATCCTAATAGAAAATTAGTGGGGATGGATTTGTTTAGATGGTGTAAGGTTTGGGCAAGGGCAAGCCCTTAACAATGCCACAAAGAGGAGTATTATCCGGGATGTTGTACTCATCCCTCAAGGAGTGCGCAGGCGATAGAACACTCGCGTATAGTTGTTGTCCTAGGTAGCGCCTTTCCCACATCTCAGACCTCACGTTCCACATCCCACAGTTGTCGAATGTCAACATGATGGCAGCCCAAGATTTGGGGAACACTTGGATTGTGTGTCTGCTCACTGCATCCAACAGATTGTAGTTCTTCCTCTTCTCGGGTGTCCACGTCCCTGGCTCGATGCTGTCCGTGGAACGGATCACATTTATAAACCCAATTAGTAAAAAAAAAAATTAATTAATGTTGTTGCTAGGAATAAAATTTCAACTAAATTACTGTACTTACGCCACTGCGAAAAATGAATAGCCATCCAAATGCCATGACTGAATGGTCTTTTCGTGGTTCTCAAAGATGATCTCCACAAAGGTACGATGAGTGATATTAATCACATTGGGCTCCTTGATCACATTTGCGATCTTAGCCGGCGGTTCATCTGCGATGATGTTGTACTTGAAAGCCTTGTCTGCAGCCCCAAAATACTCGACCAGCTTCAATGGGGTCTCAGTATCTACATGGGAAACACCGCTAATGGCATACCGAAGCTTGCCATCCACCTTATTGGCACTGTTCACCAACTTGATGGTACGGGTAATGTTAATAGAACCATAGCGGTATGAGCCTTGAGGATTTGGCCTGGCAGCACTGGCTGTAAGGTTCCAGCGAAATGAACGGAATTGGTTGAGGGACCATGCCCATCCGACAGGGGCTGCAGGAAGCTGAGGTGAGGCTTGAACTTTGCTACCTTCATAACGGATGATGCCTGTGGTGCTGAGAACTTGCTTGGTGAACCGAGTTGAGGCTACCATATAGTAGTCCAAGGGTTTTTGGTCGGCCGTCACAAGCACAGCATAACACTGACCAACATGCACATCGAGTGAGTCATAGACATTTTGAAGGACGTGGGAACCCTCCATCTCTACGAGTTTCATCTTGTGGTTTTGGATTCTGAAGTTAAGGGAGTTCTTCAGCCCAATGTTGCAAATTCTATACTTGTATGTCTTACCTGGTTTCATTGTGAAAAGAGGCTCATCTTTGCCGTCAGCCTTGCCTGCCTTGCCGTTGATGAGAACCCCTTGAGGCCTGCCAATGGAGCGTCCGCTTTCCAAGAACTTCTCGAGGGCAGTGTGGCTCTTGGCATACCAGTCACCAATAAGGACGGTGTAGTCATCCTCGGGGTCAGCGTAGGGGACAGGGATAAGCAAACGACTATTGACGCGGAGACCACCGAAGCCACCAGCAGCCCTCTGCATGGCGGTGGATGGATAGTAGAAATAGCTGCCAATCTGGTCCTTCACCTGAAAGCGGTAAGTGAAGTTGGTGCCTGGAAGAATAGGGCACATGGTGCCTTCCACTCCGTCTTGCCAACTATTCTTCCTGTGCTGAACGCCGCTCCTGCGAATTTCATTTTAAATTAAACTACAAGCTAAAACAATCAAACAATGGAAACAATTAGGTAGCCACAGTATATGTACCAGGTGAAGAGGAGTGGTTGATCAATATTGTTGAAGACATTAATGACAATATTGTTGTTGGTGGTAGAATTGATGTTGGGACCTGGGAATTGACCATTGATGAGAATACCTTGCTGGGGGACACCAAGGGGAAAGATGGTGCCGTAGGTGACATTCCATGTGAAGAACAAGTAAGGATCCTCAGATCGGACCACCTGTAGTGTCCCAACCAAAAGACATACCAAAGAAATTAACATCACCCCACGACCCATCTCTGATTTATTTTTGGTGTGCTCTTTTTTTTTTTAAAAAAAAAGTTATTAACTTATTCTTATTACACTTCCCCTCTAACAGCTCTATCTATATGAATATGTAGTGTCCCTAAGGAAGAAGATATTCAATCTTCTTCTGCTGGACATATGATGAACTCTGCCTACCCCTCTTTTATACTACACAATGTTAACCCCGCATCCCAAATTCTCTACCCTACATTCACCCTCCCCCCAAATTCTCGGATCTTATTCTCCTTTCCTTGCGCTCTTCTTCTCATTTTTGCTTTCTGTTATAATATTTTGCTATTTTTGCCACCTTTTTTATGGATTGAACTGGTCCTCTACGTTGCATCATCTATGTTCTTGCATAAATAATGTTTTGTCTGTGTGTGTGTGTGTGTGTGTATATATATACATATATATATATATAAAGTTTGGTGTTCTTATTAGTACCACCTAACCCACGTCAACAAGAAAAATTATTTTTTTAAAGAAAAAAAAAAAAAAAAGTCAATATAATGCACGTATCTAGTGTTATTACATACCTTGTCTTTTTCACTTCATTGTATGAATAGTGTTATTAAATTGCTATAAATGGAAATCCCGGTTGTGCAATTTCAAAAAAATAAGATGAGTAGACATTTTAATTCCTCTATCTTCTCTCAGCCAACACGATGCAGGAAGTATATAGGCATGGAAGGAATTTTGGTTAGAATGTAATCACTTGTAAATAGATGGTTATAAGAATATTAATGTGAAATAAAAGACAAATTGAACAACAATTAAACGAAATAAATAGACGGTGTAAGTATATATTCTTTTATATTAAAGAACAATCTTTAAATTTGCAGTTTTCTTTGTTTTGTCTTCAACAAATGAAGGAAAGAAGAGGATAAACATTATTCCCATATTTTCTTTAACAGTATAGGAAACTTCCTAGTTTTAAAACACACTAACGACGAAGGAAGAGGAGAAGACAGTGGTTTGCTCGGATAAAAAGAAATTTAGAAAAACTCTAACGATATGATCACTAATGCGTTATTAACATGATGTTTATATCGTCAAGTTCAAACGACGTGATAGATTACTTGATATGTCGTCTGTTATTTCGTCAGTTTGTTAATCATTTTGGCAATACTTGGTGCAATTGATAAACGAAATGAGTAAGTGTAGAATGAGAAATGTTATGCACATTAATATTAGTTTTCCTAATTTTGTATGTCTACGTGCTTAGATGGCATGTAATATTGTGAGCTAGTGGAATTTGTTTCATTTCAGCCTCGCAACAAAAAATATTTCTTCTCTGCCACGAAATACAGAGGCACACATGAGATTAATTAGGCATTTGTCAGCTTTGACCCCATATATATATATATATATATAAATGGAAACCTTATTAACTGATTAGTTTAATTAGATTGACTAAATAGGCAATTGAAGACTCCAAGTAATAATTTAAAATGGAAATGAAACAGAAGAAAGGAAATGGAGAAAATAGAAAAAGAGGGAACAGAAGATTGGAAATAGTAGCCGGCATGCAGGGTCGTAGAATTAAAAATAGCAACTACCAAATGACTAGTCAAGAATGAGGGGAAGGGCGCAAAGCAAGGTGCAAGGAGGAAGAAGGTGCACAGAGGAAGTTGCGGAATGATTGAACGGTTAGGAGTATGCTCGTAGCAAACCACGGGGCTTGTATAAAAGGGGATGTCGCAGAGAGGTCTAGTGGGACAGTAGGAGAAGACAGATATATATATTTATACACATATATCTTCTTCCACACGTACAGGAAATTAAAGAAAAATTACAAATACAGAAAAGCAAATAAAACAAGATGATGAGGAGTAAGCAGCCGGTGATGATATTAATTTCAATGGTGTGCCTCCTGGCTTCAGGGGCACTCTTTGTACAAGCTGAAGATCCTTACTTGTTCTTCACGTGGAATGTGACGTACGGCACCATTTCGCCCTTGGGAGTTCCCCAGCAAGTCATTCTCATCAATGGCCAATTTCCTGGGCCCAACATCAACTCCACCAGCAACAACAACGTCATTGTCAACGTCTTCATAATCTGGATGAGCCCTTCCTCTTCATTGGAACGGCGTCAACAGAGGAAAACTCTTGGCAG